TGGTATCATTTGAAGGTGGCCTAACTACAAGCTAACTTGAGGGGAATTCTAATTCTCACCAGTTATGAAGCTTAGTCAAAATCAAGCTGCTTCTTGAGAAGTTTTCAAAGTATGTGAAACACAGTTCAGCTGAGGTAAGAGTTTACTTTGGCCAACATGTTTACAAGGTTCTTTGAGGGCATACCTTCTTCCTTTCTCTCTGGTTTGTAGGGTTCTTCCCTCACATTTGATAAAAATTAAATGGATACTCTCTTTACTTGTATATCAATACCATCTTAAGTAAGGTTTTTAAATCTTAGTATGGGTTTCAGCATTCTTTAAAGTCTTAATGATTATATCTGACTTTGGAGCAATTAACTATAAAAACCCTATGAAGAAAGGGTAGGGACTAAGAAATGTTTATACTGTGTGAACAAATCAGTAACGGACACACAAAGCTGGTGTTAATAAACCCACCCCTCTTCTGATACAGGAAAACACTGGACACCAATTTGACAGAACCTTCAATATTTGTACATTTTTAATAGCCAAGTCTTGTTCCTAAGAGCTTTGTTTTGTCATTTATTGTTTAACATTGAAATTAAGCTTATGTCACTGCCCAGGTGTTTGCTCCCTTTATATCTTCCTTTAGGAGGTAGAGGTCCTAAAGAAGACTGGGATTTCACAAAGGTGAAGGCTGGGAGGGCAAGCATTCGTTGAGCTCTTAATAGTGAAAGGCACATCATTTAATTCTGGCTGTCTGGGTTGGTGGTAGTCTGATTTTATCAACAGACAGTAGGGCTCAGGACTACGTTAACTTTCTCAAGGTCATCCAACTGGTGAGTGAGTTGGGGCTGCTACCCAGATCTGACTTGTCTTTTCCCTGCTGCCTCCCAGATTTGTCATTTATAAATGAAATCAGTTACATTATTTTTACTAAAAAAACCCCAAAAAACAAAACACCTGGAGATGCTGATAAATTTACCAGTACAATGATTCTGATGACTTAATTGGTGTCAAAAGCTTCTCATTTTTCATTTAGCAACACTGCATTTCCTTCTATGCCTATATCCCCTTCTGACCAGGTACAACACCCCAGTTCTCATGCACATCCAGAAGTGATTTTCATTACATACTGAATAGGTCTTAAGCTTAACCAAAGGGAATTTAACCTCCAAAGTAAAATCCTAAAAGTAGTTCCAAGTCTAGAACCTTCTTAACTTTACCCTATTCTAGCCCTTAGGCTGTGGACATTTTTCAATGGATTAGGCGAGCTGCTGTGGAAAAGCCAGGGCTCTGGAGTATGGGGTTGGGGGATGTGCAGGATTCTACCTACTTTATCCACACACTCCTGCTTGACCATAACAGTCCTGGGCCTTTAGTGTACTGAGTATTTCCAACATAAAATGCCACTTAACCTGCTCAAAGACCATGAAAAGCCTCCATCACGTACCAGGCCATCTTTATTCCTCATACCTGTTGTACTTCCAAGTATTCAGCTGAAGGCAGGTATGTAACTAAAGCAACTCACATTTTAAAAAAGCCTTCTAGGTGATTCAACTTGAAAATATTGGGTGTAGGCCGTCTGTGTCTTCATTAACAAGTTTTGTGTACAGCACTCTACTGTGAAAAGCTGAACTACACAGCCCTGAGGAAGAGCTGTAGCACTCGTATTGTTATGACTTGTGAAAATCCACGGCTTTGTCTCTAAAGCAATTGTTCCTATAGATTATGACTTGAAAGACTAAAGAAAACTGATCTTGGGGATATGCCTGGACACTGGTTAAGGTCTCAATGAGCCTATTAATTTCATGGCAGTATGATTAGAAACCCTCATTTAGTGAAGCTCTACATTGCTTTGGGAGGTGGTGTTGGGGGGGGGGGGGAACAGGTAGGTCATATACAAGACCTAGAACAAAAATGACAATTTTCTCCATTATACTAAAAGCAGCAGGTGGGAAAAGGTGAACAAACAACTGAGTAGGGTGAATTGCTAAATGAGATTACTAACTTTGGTTAAGGGGAATTACGGACTTTATGTTCCTAAATAAAACTCATGTAATTTATTATATTCTTAAACACAAAACAAAACCAAACCCTTACTCTTTACTGGCTCCTTAGTCTTTGTGACTCAGCTGGTAAAGAATCAGCCTGCAATGCGGGAGACCTGGGTTCGATTCCTGGGTTGGGAAGATCCCCTGGAGAAGGGAAAGGCTACCCACTCCAGTATTCTGACCTGGAGAATTCCATGGACTGTATAGTCGGACACCACTAAGCGAGCAACTTTCACTCCTTACTGGTGTCATGAACATGAAATAAAGACAAATCTAATGTGATTTCAAGACATTTATTTTATATTTAGGCTTAAAATGCTTCTTAGAGTAACTGTTCTATCCTAGTTCTCTTTTATGAAAGCCACTGCAGGCTTCCAATTTCTTTCAAGTATTAAATGCAGGAAAACCGGTGTGGGAGGGAAAGGGGTTGGAAAGAACAGCAATGTTAAAGCAGTTTATGATTAAATTTCACATGAATAATTCCCCATACAGATAACTGCAAGTACTTTTTTGTGGAGGGGATGCAAGAGGGTACACAAGAAAATACTAGACTATGAGTCTGAACGAACAACTGAAACTCTGTAAACAGCAGGCCTGCAGTGTCTACCACACGAGTTTGCTGCACCTGGCCTGGCCTTTGCCAGTTTCCTGAATTATTTACAACCTGCTCCTATTAGGATGCTCCTCAACACCATCCGTTCTATTCAGCTCTCACTGAGCAACCAAGCCTTAAGCCTCATAACGCAATGAATAGGTACTGACATTTTGTAGATTAGGAAATCAAGGCACAAAGTCAAGTCATTTACCCAGACATCAGCAACTGAGTGATGGAGCTGAGACTGGAACATGGACAATCTGATCCTAGTGGCCACACTCCTTGATGATACACGAAGTCACTCAACTAAAGAGTAACTTTTATAGTAGAGATCTCATTTCCCACATCTCCCAGGAAGTTATTTCTGATTCATATTAACAAGACATGTTAGAGCCTTGGATTTATGTTGTCAATAAACAAACTTTATTAATAATTCCTTGTATTAGATATTGAGATGAAATTCAATGTCTAATTGAATTCATGCCATATACACAAACTCTTGTTTTAGATTTTCTATTGGCAAACATCCTGTTCAATAGTCCTTGGGGGTTCTGAGCACATTCACAAAATGAAATCCCAATTATTGCTGCCAACAAATAAGCACGTGAGTTTTTCAAACCAGGTGGGTGAGACTGCTTGAAAAACACAGCTTATTAATTAACAATAAGCAAATAGAGTTAAATCAACCACTAAACAGGTTCTAAGTGAGGCTTCTTCCCAAAACTTGGAAATAAAGGAAATCAGCCCTCAGAATTTACTTTTGTGATTAATGGATCACAGAGAACAGGCTAAGTCACTTTTGAGAGACCAGAATTACTCCGAGTCACACAACCTTCCAATGTATCCTGCTTATTTAGCAAGCTACCTTAAGAAACTTCAGGCAGAACACATACTGGTAAATGAACAGAAAAGGAGTCATAGAAGCAAAAGGTGGCTGTGCCCAAATAAACATTGCAGAATAAAAAATGGATGCATAGTATCAGACCTAAAATGCTTGGAACACAGATGTTTCAGAGGCAAACTTCTCTTACCAAGACAAACTTCTGACTATTTGGCTTACATTTGTCAGCTTACAGGGAAAAAATTTCAGGTTATTGATATAGTTGTGAATCCTCAAATTGATGTATTGGTACTGTAATTTGACACCTGAAAAGGATGGGGGCAGAACGCGCTGCTTCTGCAATCCAGAAACTCCTAAATCAGCCTATCATACACAAACTGGTCCATGAAATTACCGTTTGTCACCAAGTTTTTCTCACTTGTGGGACTTACTCATTTTTTATCTGGATAAATGTGGGTAGGAAATCCTACTGCCTTCCAAGAAAGCAGAGACTGCTGAATCAAGAATTCTTTGTAACAAAAGCTCTGATTTTTCTCAGCAAAGATCTTAAAAATCACCTAGCTATTTAAGCACAGTAGTAGGTCACAAAAAACTGCTTTACTGTTTAGATAACACTTGGGAATGGTGAAACATCTTGACAGTAGAACTATCTTCCCTTAGAGATATTACCATGTTTTTTAAAACCCTATTTCCATAGTAAATGTAAAACCCTAAAAAAATCTAACCAACCAACGTTACTACTTAACGAGTTTGTAAGTCATGCACATATAAGCAGTGGTTTATTAGTTAAGATTAATCTTAAGATTAGTTAAGGAATAAAAATTAATAATTTAAGTTCTCAAATATAACCAAAAATATGTGCTTAAAATGCTTTTAAGGCAAGACATTTGGTAACTAACAAAAACATTTCAAATTTGATTACCTGAAATTGACCTTAACTAGTCATTTCTTTAGTTCAAAGAGGACAGGCCAGGAAAGTATCATATCCTACATAATTATAATGTTTGCACAAAGTAATGTAGGCACCCCTTATGACATTTTGCAGGAAACCATTATCATGGTGGAAATTTTCTTTGATTCTTAAGAACAAGAATGAATCTGCATACACAGAGATCAAGATGCACTTGTACTGTTTTCAAAGATAAACCTTGGGGTGACTACATGACTTTTCAGTATTTAAATACCTGCAACAAAAAATGAACCTCAGAGTTAAATTAAAAAAAAAAAAAAAAAAAGGAACTAGGACATTTTGTAAGGTCTTACCACTAAAAAATGCTACCACCAGTTTTTTTGGATAATGTTTGCCTCTGAGAATGTTTCTGTGAAAAAACCACTCCTTTGCTTTGGTTCTGAAAACAGTGTATTTTAAAACAGCTAAGGCAAATATTTAGGGGGCACAGCTCAGTATCGGAAAATTAGTTCAAAGAGGTAGAATTAAAGCCTTTTTATGTAATGTGCTTCTGCATAAAGGTAACAAATCAATGATCGCTGATCTAAGGAAAACACAACTGCAAAATGAATCACTCTTTTATAGGATGTTTAAAGATAACGGTTTTTAATAGTTCAAATATTTTTAAAAATCTCATCAAAAATGTATTACCTTAACAGTACTTTGCACATGTGGAATTTCATACCTAAATTTGATACTATTTTGGTTTATTTATGGCTACTTACAAGAAGACTCAGTAATAATGTCCATTCATTGGAGTCTTTTTCTTTGGTTGAGCCTACTGGGACCAGGCTGATGAACTATTTTATGCAAACGAGATGGTCAAATTCATGGCAATATGAATTATAAGGGTTCTCATTTAATGGAAATGAAACTTAAAAGAATTTCCATATTTTATCCCCACTGTGGTTTTAGAAGCTAATATCCTGTTCGGAGGTTAAAGAGTTTGAATAGCTCACACAACCCTGTAAAAATTACAACTGGCTGCCCTTTAATAAATAAAGTCATTGTAAAGAATTACATTTACAGAGTGAAAAGTGAATACATAGCATTTCAAATTCAATTTTGGAAGTAACTAATAAGTACTTCCCCATAACAATATACACTAGCTACCTTTTTAACTGTCCATCATTAGCACCAAAAGATTCAACAAAATTACCTTTATTCTCACATCTCAAAACAATTCTGCAAATTCTTAGTGAAGTTTAAGTATAGTCACAGACCTTAAATATTCACATTGTTTTCTATGTCATACTGAAAATAAGTTCACTACTTTTCTGGATATTCTTTACAAAATCTTATTAAAATTCCTGGTATCATCATCCCCATTATACAGTAGCACAACCACCCAGTATCATTTCACATGATAGCTCCGTAGAGGTTTCACATCTAAATTACCAAGAACAAAAAAAACCCCTTCCCCCCCCCATCTTGCACTCCTCTTGATTCTATACTAGTCCTTGGATTATGTACCACTGTAAAGGTATAACTGTATCAAAATTACCATGTTTATGGATACAATAATATGCCATACAGAGCAACAAAGTTACATGTAATGACAAAGATTACTAAAGTTACGCAAGACAAGAACAAAGTTAGGACATGCTAATTAGGCAAAGTCCCTAGAAAGAGACTCCTAGTATCCTAAATTCAAATAACATTGACAAAATAATGAATAATTATCTTAAAAAAAATTATAAAGCTACTGGCAAATCAAGTAACTGCTAAATAAAAGTAGAGCACGAGATTAAACTCTAATATTTACAACTGCAACATACTTGAGTAAAATTACAATTGTGCACATATCAGTGGCTTTGTAACAAAAATAATTCATATACATAGAGGAAAAAATTAAGACAGTTTTCAGTTCAACACGTTGAATTCAACCCAACTCAAAGATGCTCAACAGCTCAAAGATTTACCACAGAATTGAAGATTAGCTGACAAACCAGAGCCATGTTACTGGCATTTAAGACCAATTTTAAATAAGTTAAAGTCTATCATTTGCTCAGAAGTCAGGAGACTGTGCAAACTTGACCTCAACAGGAATATACTGAGATGTGCAAACAAAGGGAAAACCTCCACTAGCTGTTTTATCTGGAGGCTTACCTTTTTTCTTCCCCTCAGAGAGCTTCCTGTTAACAACCGTTAAGATATAAATACAGGTACAATGCACAGTCAGTGACCTTTTTTGTTTATTTATTGTTAGAATATAAAACAACTGAGAGAGCAATAGGTTTAATTTCATTTTTATAAGGAAGACTGCATTTACCTGAAAAAGAAATATGGCATCACACACAAACACACTTCAAGGGAGGGGTATGTTTAAGAACATGGTGTCATTCTGAATGCCAAAGGAAAAGCGATTCTGCTTACGGTTAAAATATGTAGTGTTAAAGTTCTTTATTTAAGAAAAAAACTTACTAATTCTGCACTAATGTAAGTTTTTGTGAATTTAGTTTTCAAATCACAGTAATCTACACAACCATTATGAACACCTCTGTGATTATAGTACTGCAACAAGCCAACAAACACTTAAATGCACTTCACATCAAGAGTATGTAAACTTTATTTTTTCCTCTTCAAGCCTTCAGAAAATCAGGGGCTCTTTCAGCAGCCAGTCTGGTTAGAACCTCTGAAGGCAGAATCAGTGCCTCATGGAATAAACAACCATCTGTGGCACTGCATACCCATCTGGTAGTGAAGTGTCCCCCTTCAGTGGCTTCCAGTAAGGCCTAGAGTTTAAGGTTAACATGAAAAAGTGCCACCTTTGTTTTAGATTAGTGATGGACTCTGACAAGATAAAATAAAGTTATTCTGTATATTGTTATACTTACAAGCAGCTCCAATCCTGAGTATTTATGGTAATATCTAAACATACAAAAATGTATGTACATTTTTCTCCACTTTCTTGTAAACAGTTGTCAGTATACTGTTTTATCCCTTTATCAGTGAAACATGCAAATCATACATACAAGTATAAATACACAAAAGAAAACAATTTACACTCATTCAAAAGCCAAGCAACAACAAAAAATAGCTACAGTATTCAAATTATAAATAAACGAATGCTTGAGGCATCTTATATTCCTAGAAGCAGCCAGCCATTCACCCTAATGTTCTTAGCTGCAATTGTAGAAATACTGAGTTTTGCACCTTCCATGCTTTTACAGTATTTATAACACTATCATATGTGGAGATAAAGACTTGTTTACTATAATCTCTTCTTTTCAGAATGAAGAATAAAGCAGCACTTACAAATATTGAAGCAGTGGTAGTTAACAGCAGATGTTACCACTGCTAGATCAGGAGGAAGTTTTCCATTCTAACAATTTTTAAATTAAAAAAGTAAAAGAAAAATTGACCTAAAGAAATGATTACATGTTCATTCCTTGGGCACTTAACAGCGAGTCCAGCATGTCGAATGTGTCTTTGTAGTCCATATGCTGGCTGTTTGTACTGTACTCGTGATTGACATCAGGACCGTTGGTCTCCACTGGCCTCTTGTCCAGTTTCACGAGGGTGCTGAGATGTCCGTAGCCCACCTGGTATGTGACAGGGGGAGGAGGGGGTAAGGGATGGTTAAAAACAGAGTTGTGAGAGGATATATACTGCTTAACAGAGGAGGAAGAACTAGATGAACTACCTGAACTTTTGGAACTTTTGCTCATTTTGGAGTGATGGTTGTGAGACGCATCATTGACATGCAGCTTCTTCCTCGAGGAGCTGGAACTAGAGGAAACGCCATCACTGCTCAGGCCAACAGGACTCCTCAGAACAGTGGGTGGTATTCCGTCGGCACTGTGCTTACTGCCGCCACTGCTGCTGCCACTGTAGGAGTGGGAATGCTTGTGACTGCTGGGGTGGTGGCGGTTGGAAGGGTGCTCCTTGTGCTTCTCCTTATGGTCCCTGCCAATATGTGGGCTTGAATGCTTGCTCTTCCCACTGCCTTCATCAGAAGAGCTGTGTCTTTCTGAGGAAGAAACTTTTATTTTCATTTTCAGTTCTTCTTTACTGACACTTTTATCAGTGGGTGGTATTGGAATCCGTAATTTCAGTGATCCACTCTTTTCCTTCTTATCTGCCATGTATTTTTCAGGTTTTTCAGCATTTGTAATGGGAATTTTCATTTTAATGGGAGAAGTCACAGAACTGCTGCTGGCTGCCTGAGACTGTATATGTTTGTGTTGCTGTTCTACCTGGGCAGCTATATAATGATCCCTTGCATCCAGATCAAGGCTTTCTAGCTTACGTTTTTCTCTATATTTATCTAAAGACATTTTCTGAGGAATTACTCCAGGAGTAGCAGAAATTGGCCCATGGTGTTTACTGCTCCCTGCTTTATGAGTATAATCTTGCTTAACAGAAGAATGATCAGAAATTTTGTCAGGTCTGTGATGTAATCCTGAATGCAATGATACAGAAGGTCCCTGCTTGAAGTTGATGTTGTACTGGCTACCAGACAAAGATGTTTCCTGTTTCTGTGAATATATCTGCTCTGTCCTTGCCGACTCTTGATGCTGAGGCCATTCTTGGTGTGATGACAAACCATATGAAGTACTTGGCATTCCTGTTGCTAGCATTGACAAATTATCAGATGCATGGCTGTCTTGAACAGAAATATTTCCGGAATTTAGAGGTACTGGTGCAGGGAAAGCTGATGTAGATGGTTTCTGAAAACTTGGTTTGGTAGGCACACCAGTAACACTATCTACTAACATGGAATTCTGCACCAAAGATGAACCCAGAAGAGGCGTTTCTGATACTTGTCCATCTACTTTTGGTTTCCCAGCTGCCTGGTTAGCCTATTTAAATAAAACACAGAAGAAACAATGACAGCAAAGGAATTTAATAGAAATTTGCTTATAAAAATTCTATATTAAATAAATGAAAATAAAATCACCTGGGGTTGGACTCTGTTGCCAGTAAACAAACATCTTATTCAGAGGCATAAAATAAGACAATATATAGTGAAAGGATTGGCTTTAAATTAGATACTGAATAAATTCCAGCCCAGCATCTGAGAGAGGAATTTAACTTATCTAGCTTTAATTCCCCTTTTTGTAAAGTGAGGACACTATTTCCACAGTAATCACTATAAGAATAAGGAATCCATAAAGTATTTATAGCAAAGTCTACTGGACACAGTAGTTGGATAAATTATGAGCGCATGTAGCTTACTGTAATTACTTCAAATATTAGAAATAAGAATATATAACCATAAAAATTCAAATTATTAGCAAACTGATGTTCTAATAAACCCTGTCAATTCTCTTACCCTCCAGTATCGAATCTTCTTCAACCTACTAGGCGTTTTCTCCAATATTTGTAGAAACTCATGTGTTAGCTCTAAAAATAAAATTTAAATTTAAAACTTAGAAGGTGCCTTTAGATTTAGAATTTTCTCAAGTGGGCAATATTAAAAAGAAAGCACAAGAGTTCATCTATTTCACGATCACCTTCCTAATTCAACCATCAGCACATACAGAAGTACACACAGCTCTGAACTGGTATTTTCAAAGATGAATCTTAAAAAACATTTTTGATTAAAAAAAAAAAAGAAAGAAAAAACTGAATCAAACAAACAAGCCCTCCCCCCCCCAATAATCAAACAAAAACCCCTCTCCCACATCTCCCTGATTTTAAATGCTTGCTCAGAATCTCTGAAAAATTTAGTCACATTTTAAAAACTGCTCCCAAACAGAAAACCTGCTATCAGGCAAATATCAGAAATAATTATGGTGGGCAAAGTTCATCAGTAGATTCTTTACAATCAGTGCCCAAAAGTTAAAAAAAAAAAAAAAAGAGAATATTTGTATAATCCCAAAATGTCTTCCTCAAGATATTAATTACGTCTTCCTCAAGATATTAATTACAAAGAGAAAATCAGTAACTTTACAACCCTAACCAAGTGATCATGACTATCATTACCAGCAATAAAACATATCAACATGATACACCTTGATAAAATGCACTGAGCATAAGGACAACTCATTTCTCTGGTATTCTTGCCTAAAATGCAAAACCTCAATTTAACAATGGGAAAACGTCAGACAAACTCTAACTGAGGAACATTTTACAAAATAACTGACCATTATTCTTCAAAGTGTTAAGGACATGAAAGAAAAGATTGAAAAATTATCATAGACTGGAAGAGATTAAAGGGGAGCATGGCAACTAAATGGAACATGGGATCTTAGATGTTATTATTATGTAAGATGCTAATATTAGAGAAACTGGGTACAGGGTATAACAGCACAGAATCTGTACTATTTCACAGTTTCTTTAAATTTAAAACCATTTCAAAGTTAAATGAAAAAATTTCTTTACCTATACTTGTAACTTCCTAGCAATCAACACATTATTAACATTTCAGTAAACCACCCTGGTCACATTTCTACAATTTTTCTTCTTAAATTTAGGATTACAATGAAATAAGAGGTGATTCATTTTTCGAAAGTGGTTTGGTTAAGATGAATTACAGTTTTCAACTCCATAGAAAAATAGTGTTATTAATGAAGTTACTGGCCACTCTCAACACAAGTATTAATAATATCAAATGAGAATGTCAGGTAATATTATTACTGCCAATTTAGTATAAAGAAACTGATAAAAATTTGGCATCATTATGTGCTCACAATCTGTGACAACTAGTTCTCGCTAAAGTCTCAAGAGCTTTTTGATTTAGTTTAGATGAAAAAAAGATCTAATGCCTATACCACCACTTCTTCATTTGAAGAAAAAAAAAAAAAAAGAGACTACTTTTCTACTCGGACACAGTAGTAAATCTAGCAGATACATAATGCCCCTGGGTCCAAAATTAACAATAAATCACTTTGATTCAGTTTCAGAAAAATTCAAATTATAAAAAACACACGAGGGTTTGTTATTAATCAATAACCACTCCCCTCCCCAACCCTCTTATAGGTAGGCCAAATACAATCAATGTTGTTCTGGTGATAGGCATTAAATGTAAAATGCAGATACCCTCAGCATCTGAAATTTTGTTACTTTTTAATGTAATCAAAATAGAGAAAAGGCTGCTACATAATATGTTGAAATTTTCAATGTGTTAATGTCCAAGATTTCCTATTCAATGTTCCAATGAATATGAACTTGAGCTTTTTCAGAATAGAAGCAAAGAGATATTTAGACAGCTCCTGTTGTGTCAAAAAAAAACTTTACCTACAATTTAAGAGTAGGATAAAAGGCAGATTACTTGCTTTCTGTAAACTTTTAGTGCCATGTATAAAAACTATTTTTATTAAGTTTTATCTTATTTATATCTTATCATATTATATAATATCAATAGATAAGACAACTATTTTATCTTATCTGTTGACTGCTAAAATAAGATGGTGGCACAGATAATTTCAAGTCACAAATGGCAAAATAAAAAGTTCCCATTAGTTTTTAGAAGATGTTATATTTCAACTCGCTGAAGATTTCCTACTACTCGGAAAAACCTTTAAACTATCACTAGTGAGCCAAATACAACCTGTATCCTGTTTTTGTAAATAGTTTCACTAGAACACAGCTATACACTTACAGTTGCCTGTGGCTGCTTTCTAGCTCTGGTGGCAGAGTTGTCTAGTTGCACAGACAGTATAGCCCACAACCCTAAAATAGTTACTATTTGGCCCTTCACAGAAAAGGGTGCAGACCTTTAAAGAAATTTCTACCTTAAAGAAGCATCTGAGATATTAATGGAAAACCACATTCCAAAGCCTTAGGGGTCTCTCACTTTTACGTAACAGATGTCCTGTAAATCCAGTTCTCTCATCAGTTTCAATTTTGTAAAGGAAGCTGGGGAAAGCACACAAAAAGAAGCTGAAAACCTAACACACCAGTTTAGATTTAAGAAGTGTTATCTATCTCCTTTCTGAAATCTATAGTTCCTGGTTAAAATATCTTAATCTGCAAGAATATTCTACCTCTGGCCTGCCAGAAAAATTTCCTATCAGGAGACCCCCAAATGCCAGATTCATAATTTATAGAACTTATACTCCCAATTTTTCCTTGTCAATTCATACTTCTTAGTGCACGGCAACAATGACACACTTTATCACCAGTAGAACAACAGAACAAGGAATATTACCATGAAAATACCATTAGCTTACTGCGTCACACTTTCTACAGTAACTTAATACATGACTTTGTGTTTACACATTTTAAATCCAACAAAATTAGTATACTTTAAAATTATGTATGCTTGTATTATCAACCTGCAGCATTATATTAAATCATATTTCTTTGAAAAGTCATGAAAGGGCTTTAGATATTGAGTAGTAGTTAATAATATGTTCATCCCCCCCCCCCGCCCCCGCCTTTAGGCTAATGAATTTATTCTCATCCTATTCATGTGATCATGTAACTGTACTTTTAAATCCTACTGACATATTGTTAAAACAGAACTATGTTTTTAAAGATTTTTTATCTTTTCAAAAGAGGAAACACCAGTAGATGAAATGATACCTGGGCTTGGCATCAACTAACTATAGAGTGAAGGAGGATCCTGGACTGGCCAAAACTGTTAAACTGACCATGAATATATGGGAACTCTATATTTTTTAAAACCTACATAGAAGTAGATAGAATATTTAATCCATGATAAAAAGAAAGAAAATATTCTATTGTAACAAAAAGATTTTCTCTACTTACCATCTAGTAATTCCAGAGTAACTGTAGGATCCACATATTCCCACCAATGTTTTCCATCAGTTGACACAGGAATCTCCCAATTGGACCATTTGCAAGCCAAATGAATGCATACACATGCTATCACTGTTGGTTTATACTGAAGACAGAAGGTTGTAAGATGCAGACTGTTGTAGAGCAGATTTGGAACGAAGAGTCATAGAAATTCAAATATGTAAAACAAAGAAAAACATTTACCAATAAGATTAGAGGAAAAACAAAATTATGTAAGTTTTCTTTTTTAAGTCTAGAGTACAAAACCTTATTTAATAAAATTAAAAGCTAACATTATGACACTTTTTATGACTGGTCACAAAAACTCAAACACTAAAAACCCATACAAGATTATCAATGTTTTCATACTCTTACTCCCCAGAGTATATTACTAATGCTAGTACATCAGTATTTCTAAATTTTGTTTTTACATCTAAATTACAACTATTTTTACTTCTCTATAAAAGCAGAGGAAGACAGTACATTTCCAGTAATTACTATATATAAGTAAAATGACTTAAAACTTTTTTGGGTGGTATTTTTGTTTCTTTTGTGTCATGGTAGAATAAAGAAAAAGCAGAAAACTGTACAACTGACAAGGTAATTTCAATACCACATTATAATCATGGATTCTACCATTCCATGTGGCTTAACATTGATTCATTCTGAAGTAACTCATATATTTAAGACTTATTTAGGTAAAATTATCTTCTCAGCAAAGCCACAGAGAAAACTTACCTTTTGCTGAATAGCTTTGAGGCCCAATGCTGCTAAATCTACAAAAATACTACCTCTCTCCTTCCATGACATGCCAAAAACTGCACTTGCAACATGTCACAGCTAGCCTTTTCTAACCCAAATTTTAAATTTAAGTGGTTTTTGCCTCGTTGTTCAGTATTTCTAGGGACAGAGGTTAAATTCCAACAATATATACCCAAGAAAATATACTGGCTTTTTTGGCAGTTCAAAGTTTTAAACAAAACATAACCATCACAATAAGTTAAGGACCACACAAAGCTGGATTAGTCCACTCCTCCTCAGTGACTCATTAAAAAACAACTTTAAATCATGATTATAACCAATCCAGAACAAAATCACATGTCAGATATGAAAGGCTTTTAAAACTATTTCCAGTTCTATTTTAGAACTGATGAAAATGTCTACTGGTTAAGCACAAACCCATACTGTTCTTTAAATGAACTAAAGAGAAAGTACTGTAAGTTTTTTTAAGTAAAAATTACACTTATGCAAATCAAGGCACTGATAGGATGTGACTACTACTAATCTACTACTGGTGGGTATTATCTGGAAAAAAAAACCCAAGTTATATAAATTTTATTTATTAAAAAACTTTAATGATTAAAGTTAAGATAGGATCAATGTGAAATTTTTAAAAATTGTCATTTAACTATAATTGTAAACTAGAAATAGCTTTATACTTACCAAGTTGCTCGAATTTCTACGTTAAGTTTAGCTCTTTGTAATCTTTAGCTGCTATTCAGGCTACCAATTTTAGACTTATGCACTCACAAATCGAGAATATGTCACCAGAAAGCACCACTACACTTCACATTGTGCATTTAACCCCTCTGTGCCAGAAGTCCCTTGTACAATACACCGCAGAGCAGACAGGAAGGTACCACCACAGTAGGTGGTCCAGTCTCCCGCCGCAACAAGGGTGAGAGACACATTGAGGGGGCCCTGCATTAAAGGAAGCTATAGTGTGCTACAACAGTGCAACAAAGAGGGTCAGGATAACAACCTGTTGGTAGCCATGAAATAGGATGTCTGTGCCAAATCCTTGCTTGCTGTAAGAAAAGAAAAAAAAGCGAAGACAATACTATCAGCTTTAACATGCTACCATCAAAAAGTTCTCAACACAACAAAAACTTCAAAGATTTGTACACAAAAAGTAAATTTTACTTACTACTTACAAATATCACAAGAGCGCCATCATTTTCTATACTACTGAAAATCTTCAACAACATTCACTCAAATGTTTCTTGCTATCCCCCAAAGATCTGAGAAACAAGCCGATTTGCTTTTAGCTAGCCAGTTACAAGGGCTAAACTTGTTACTAAGTTAAGCATCTAGTCAGCTAAAAGTTGCAATAAAGCATTCTCCTGGATTTAAAAAAAAAAAAAAGAAGAAGAAGAAGAAGAAAAGATTTTGAAGTCTAATGCAAAATACAAAGAGTTGCCTGCCAGACTTAATCCTCAGTCATCACATTTAAGTTGGTTTAAGTACTTCCACCAAATAAAAAAAAAAAAAAACAAAAAACAAAAATAAAAAATAAACCCCCAACCCCCAAACTCAGAGAGGACCACCTGCCCAGTTTTTCATCATGTTACTAAGCATCAACAGAATAAACAACCTAAAAACATCACAAGGATGTACAGAAAACACTGCTGTAATTATTTTTAAATTATATAATCCAATTAATGATAACTTTAGAAAAGATAAAATAAGTACTTTAGAGGGAATCAGGATACTTCAATACTGGTCCTCAACAGAAAAGCAATTTTTAATAACTTAGTTTCTTGAGACACTGACATTGAAAACAGCCCCCATCTCCCTTCTTCTACTTCTTATTCTTCCCAACAGGGATGCCTTTGCTACTGTTTCCCTTTCTCCCCCAGTTACATTCATAATCACTGACATACCTTTCCCCTCTGCTCACCTAGGATTAATTCACCTCCACTCACCCCACTCTAACAGGACTCAAGTTCCTTGCCCTCTCCTAGTTTTATTCGTGGCACGTGTAATTCCCCGCTGCCCCATGGATCATCAACATAAAGGTTTACAAAAGGGATTTGGGCTTAGCAGAGCTGTGCTAAGGAGAGTGTCAAAGCATCGGATGTCTTGGAGGCATTGTGACTTAAGTAAGGCATTCTTTCCTGGTGGAGAGGGAAGGAGAAATCACAGAAATGAAAGGTCCCTGTAAAATGACATTAGCCAATTTTGCAGCAAAGAGCATAATAACTTTCTCATCTCCAGATATGGGGGGGGGGGGGGGAGGGGAGAACTTCAAAGAAATCAAATGATTTACCCTCACCCCCACCCCACAAAAGAATCAAAATATATAGAGAAGTAAAAATAATTTTAAATTGCCATTGTAGTCTTCACCTCAGAATATATGTAAATTCAGTAACCTATTAAAAGTCATTGCAACAGAGAAAAACGTAAGGAAAATGTTCTTTTGTTAGCTTAAAGTGGTTTTAGGGCAAACAAACAAAAAAAATATACCAAACATGAAAGAACATTAAAAAAAAATGGACTAAGATGCAAATTATAGTTACTTGAAAATGTTAGTCAGACAAAAATGACATTAAACAAGAGATTGTTACAAAAATTTAAGAATTCGTCACATTTTAAACATTAATAACAGTAACAAAAATCAGATTTAAATATTTTGCTTTGGATGATATATCCAATTTACAGATTTTGTAAATGTCTATATTTTACTCTTCAGTTTTGCAAAATAAATGGACTTTAATCTCTCTAGCTTCTTTAGACAGGATTTAAGAGAAGCTGACTCAAATTTCACAATACCAAGCTGAAAATTGTTTCATTTTCTCCTAAGTGTGTGTGTGTATTTCTTAACCTATATTTAATATCTTTCTTCAACATCTTTCTTTACTAAGCTCAACTTAGGGCAAATTAAGTGGCTCTCCATTATTTAAACAGAACAGCTCACCCTTTCAAGTTTCCAGGGAAACAAAACTTCTCTAAAGCTTTATTTCTTAATTCCATATACTAGTTATCCATACAATTCTATACTATGCTGTAATACTAAGGATGAGAAAGTGCTACAAAACATATAACCATGAATAGGAACCATAATTAAATATAACACTGCTTTTAGATTTAAAAAACATCTAAGTCCATTTCTTAACAATGACAACTCAGTTATCAGTTTTTTTTTTTTTAATGTAGCCATTAACACAATAAAATCCTATCTAGGTATAAAATGAATTCAATTTAGAATGAATAAAATAAGAGAACATTCAGGTAAACACTAGAAAAAAGGCTTTCAAAAGTCTTACCCATTTTGTTTAAAACAAACCTAAAGAAGTCCAGTGGTAAAGGAATAAAACTGCAAAATTTCATTTTCAAAAAGAAGTAACAGAAAAAGGCACACTAAAAGTTCCAAGTGATCACTGTTAGTGCTTATCACTTCAAATGGGAAACAGGGAAGGAAAAGTAGGACAGCATGCATCTGTGTGAAAAATTATTTCTAGAGATACAATGATATATAGGATTCATTAACAACAGTAGAAAAGCATACACCACATGCTTTATAAGAAGTAAAGAAACAGTACAAAACTTTGTACTCTTGTTTACAAACAGTTTAATAGGTATATCACATGCTGTTATGTATCATGCTATGTAATAATTTCCTCATTATACACAAAAAGGAAGCCACTTTTAGTAAGGCTAAAGAACTTAAATCAATTTTGGTCAAATGAACACAGGCATAACATTCCCTAAAATGACAAATCTAAAGGCAATTTTTATCTGAAAGATGTGAAGGTGACCTCCAGATTCGAAAACTGTATTAGTTTTCAAGAAGTCAATGAAATTTGATATAAATTGGAAATTAATACTATTTCCTCCACCTATATGTTAAATGGCCCACATCTTAAATATTAACTGAAATGGAATGAGTATAGCCCAAAATAAAGAGTTCCAGTATTTGGAAGCCCTCTAATTATCAGTATTTGTTTTTAGTGAAGAGACTCTCACCTAAATGTAAAGGAAGTTAATTCACCGGGAAGGACCAAATACAGAAGTAGATGAATAGGCAGGTGTAGAACACTGAAACGGAATGCTTCAAAATGACGTTTCTTGTCATTTTATAATAATAAAACCCCAAAAAAGCTAGGAGAACAAAATAGCAGTCATATCAAATATAGACAATAAAAAGCATTAGTAATTTAAAAGTTTCAAAGATCACTTACCTCTTACTAACTGGGTACATTTCACCACATCTGTGTGTGGGTGTTCAATGGTGATCTCAAAACCTGAAATGAAAAGCACTTTTTTTCCCAATCACTTATACCACTACAATACTTGCCTGAGAAATCCCACTCATCACACAACTGTGTGAATTTTTCATTATTAAAAAAAATCCAAAGTTAGTTTCTCATCACTGACATATTTATTATACCTCCAATCATAAGAATATCTTGAAAAGCATTCCAATTATGAAAACTGAAAAAGTTACTTAGAGATAAATAGTATTTATTAAAAATTCTTAATTACAATTAGTTTGAGATTATCCTTAAGTTACAAACTACAATCATGACAATTATTAAAGCAGCTGCACAATTTAAGCAGGAAATTCAACTATGTAATATATTTCTTATATATATTCCAACTCCTTCTTTCAGAAGATGTGACAAGAACATATTTCATAAATATAATCTTTGGGCCACAGTGGGAGAAGTGATCTTTTAAATGATACAGTCCTTTTATTTTCTCAGTGTACCTTAGATCAAAGGGTTTCAATCAGTTAGTTTGTAATTACATCTTATTACTAATAAAAATAAAACTGTTACAGCAAGTGAACCCGGTAGGTAGGGCATAGTTTCTCCTTTCCCTTTCTTAGAAGTGGAGGTCGTTTTATAGTGCCATGAGAAGTAGTAAACAATAATATCCCAATAAGCAGGTAATCTCGATTTTTAAAGTTATTGTGTGGTCTATTCATATTTCTGTTATTAAACTTGCAAAAATTACACTTTAGCCATGAGTTGTATCTTGTAAATTAATTCTAAAGTTCCCCTTAAAACAATGCTATTCATTCTGTGTTTAAGAATCTGTCATCAGTAATATGAATATGATGGATTTTATATGATAAAATAACTTTTAAAAATAATGTTTTTTCTTTCAACTTTCATTATATGAATATTTGTCAAATCTCAAATTTATATAATAACAGTAACATGCTAAATCACTGGATTTGGAGAGAATAAAAAGACTTTCACTTTTATTTTTCTTGTCTAGTTGTGTCCAGATTCTCACTTTCATTTTTCTATCTTTTTATATCATAAAAACCTTCAACAAGTTATATGTGTTTCAAACAACCTATTTGTATAATTAAAAGAATCTGTCATAATGGAAAGCTACTATTATCAGACTTCTATTCAACATCTGGGAATTGAGTATAAATAAGATAAAAACAACTAATAGTAAACAGTGATTATTTATGAAATACTATGTGGCAAGTTTTTAAAAATATATTATCTTTCATCTTCGAATTCACAGTGTTAAAGCAGAATTATTATTCCACCTTGCACACACAGTTAGATAAAAGTAAAGGAACTTTGACCAAGTTTACAAAGTAAATAAAGAGGACTACATATTTAAGTGCAGATCTCAAATAAAGCCTATATTCTTCCCATGACACTCTGCTAGGTCCTTCCAGAAGTAATACATGAAGGTATTACTTCCTTCCAGAAGTAATACATTTACACAGCCCACACCTGCATAAAGCTCAATCTCCTCATGAGTAAAGTAAGTGATTAGATAAATGATCTTCAAAGATGACTTAAGCTGCACTAACCTTATAGACAATTTAACTTTTAAACAAGGATGACGGACACTTAAATTACTATGTCATGTTTAAAATGATGTGATAAATTCATAAGCTCTAGCATAGCAGGACTGCCTTGGATGTTTATAACATTATAAACATATACGACAGCCCTAAAGGACCATTTTATTCCCCAATGCAAATCCAGAATGAACCAGAGTCTTAACTATCTGAAAATATGAGAAATCACACTGAAAGCTATGTTGACCATTCAATTAAATGCTAAATGAAATTAAAATTTTAAAAATGGTTTCCTCAGAACCAGGCACTACTACTCTGGCTCCAAGCTGTATTTTCAAATGAAACTGTCTTCAATGATAAAATTATTTCAGAAATCTTTTCCTTTATTTAGAATACTGCAATGAACAACACACACACAAATAATACTTGACGTAAGTACATACCTAGGGTTTGTAGCATTATGGTTTCAAGTAAAACCAGTTCTTGAGTCTGTTGAAGATAAGTCTGCCAGGTAAAAATAATAATATCAAAATGTTTAATAAACATAACACAACTAGACCATGGGAATGTTAAATCTCCTAAGATTAAATCATAGATTCATTACAAACTCCAACAAAATCTTTGGAAATATGAAAATGAACTGAGGGTGACAGAAAAAACCTATTTTCTGTGATAAATTCAGTTACTTCTAATACAAGAAATGTTAAAGCAAAACAAAACAAAACCAATCTAAGGATAATAATACAAAAGGGGGTAGGTAGATTAACTGAAAAAAAAAAAAAAAAAAGAGAGAGAGAGAGCTCCAGTCTGTAAGGTAAAACTTTACCTAGGCATTGGCACATTGTCCCATTAAGGACAGGAAGCACCAATTCAAGAAAGATCAAATTCAAACTGGCCTTTAAACAAAAGGCTCATCAGCTCACTACAGGATATTTCATGTATTAATTCCTTGACTTCCACAGTTGGTCAGTGAGTTATTTTTTAGAATAACTTTCTCTCTCCAGAAAAGAAAAAATCAAAACAGACCCTCAAACCATTAGATTAAAAAAAAATTTTTTTTTTTAGCTATAAAACACCAAAACAATGTACCATACACCAGCGGGGACAAAAATAGAGACTCTTTTTCCTCAGCTTCACTAAATCATTCAAATGCAATCACTCAGGGAAGAAAAGGCATGAAAAAATTTCTGCCATCTCCTTCTTACATCATGACAAATGACTGGGGTGATAAGAAAACCATATTATATATAAATATTCATTTATGTAAGGACATATTGCTAAACTCAGAGTGAAAGTACCTTTAAGTTTATTAATGCCCACTTTGAGAAGATCACTGAGCTTTTCTATTATTTATTTGCTATTTATTTTTATTATTTATTTTCTATGAATTATTATTATTATTTATTTAAACAATACGCTAACTAATCGCAAGAAATAATTTTGAGTTCGTAAAGTTAATAGAAACTACAAGAAATAATTTTAAATAATCTCATATTCACTATACTGAATGGCCACATTAATATTTTAGTCTCTTAAATCCAACATGTAGGATAAAAACTTGTCATTAACAGAATCAGATATATTTAATCTGGACCTTAAACTTTATCCAAATCGAACTAATACTGGTAGTCATTCGGTAGTTAAAAGTGCTTGATAAAGCAATTCAATTACACAGGAGTGCTAGAAAAAGGATTTCAAAAGCTCAGAATGCTATAGCTTCTGTTTTAAGATGTCAGAAGACTTAAAGATGGGGTTTTGAAACTAGACCTATTGAAATGCTGATGAGGAACAAGCTGTTTGGAAACTAGTATTACTCTTTTTCTTCCCCCCTCCAGATACTTTAGGAAAATAAAAATATTTTTGAAATGCCACTCATGTAAGCACAGTAAAATGCATCTTTATGTATCAGAGAAAAGCAGTAGTATATATGTATTGATAATAGAACACTTTTGTAAAAAGACTGGTCTAGAGATAAATCCAGAGATTTTTCTATTCCTTCATTTGCTGACAATTTAAGAAAGTATCTATCTATGGTCTTAAAGACATCCAAAGGTGATATGATGTACCCTCTACGTGTATCACTGATTCGCTGTGAGAATGAATAAAACGTGAAACATTTAAAAAGTACCTTTGAATCAAGGACTTAAATGATTCAGAAAGACAAAAACCTCGCAAACATGACATGACATGTGTTTCTGTCAGATCATCTCCTGGTATTTACCTTCCTGAGTGAGTACCTTCCTAAGAAATAAGCAGCAGGCGATGGCAACACTAACTGAATTACATTTTTATTAGGTCTGAATGATGAAAAGTTTTCAAATTTATAACGAAAACCCAAAACACCGAATTTTTACATACATCACATTTAGTATCCAGCAGTGGCTCTAGGGGATGAAGACAAGCATGTGCTACTTTGATAACATGTTCAAGTTTTCGAGCCTGTTCTTCTACTTTTGCAGCCAAGAATAATGCAGTAGGTGATATCATCTGCAGAAAAGACAAAATTTGGTGATTTAAAAACACACACATTTTGGGAACACCTTCTACTTTCTAAGGGGGGGGATGCAAAAAAGGAATGTAATGTTCACAGTATGAACTGAAGCTGGGCTATGACAAGATTGATATAAGTTTTTAGAAAGTTATTCTTCATTAGATATAACTTGTTACTTCAGTCTATAAAATCTGTTTTACTTGCTTGCAAAGTAAAAATCTAAAAAGTAGAAATCTAAAAGGAAAAGACTTACACTTTAAAAGAAAGTTTAAATAACAATAGTGCACACTGGGGAGGCAGAGGAAAAAACTAAAGCAGAATAATAAAGCCAAAGCTCTGTAAAAAGAAAGGAAGGAAGTAAAGAAGAAAGAAAGTGGGTAAAGTATAGTCAGATTTTCCCTCTTTTGAGGCAGTCACCACTCACTGGTATTCTTTTAATCAATGCTTCATTGTTTGGTTAAGAGCTATACCATCTTACTTAAGAGAGAAAAAGAAATCTCCAAGACAAAATAAGAGGATTCTGAACATGAAACTGTTACCTAATTTCTCTATTACTTCAATAAAGCAATATTAAAAGTATCTAAAAAATTCAGGGAATAAACATGTAAGACAAACCAATAGTGTAGAAACCTTGCCAATCGGAGATGAAGAAATCATCAATTTGTTTTAGCTTTTAGTAAGTTATTTACTGGAAATAGAAATGTAAGAACATAACACTATAGAGATATTGACTAAGAGAACACCATTTTGAGCAATTATTTATCCAAAAAGTTAGTAATAAACCAAATAACTGCTGAGTCAGAGAACTGGCATATGTTAAATTCTACTAACATTCTAAGATTCCATACAAGAAATCGGTCATGAAAGGATCATTTCTAAATGTCAAGATTCATGTACATTATTTTT